TGGGTCCCCACACCTCATTCGCTTCCACTCCTACCCCTGACCCAGGAGACCCCCTGGGTCCCCACACCTCAGATGCTTCCACTTCTACCCCCACTTCTGCCCTGGGAGACCATCTGGGTCCCTACACCTCCTTGTTCTCCCCATGCCCCCCAGACTCGTGTGTCTCAGCACCGAGGGCTGGATGATGACTTTCCCTCACCGTGTGGGAGGGAGGCCTCACCCGCACTCCCGGTCACCAGTTCCCACTCTGCAGAGGGCCGTGCTGGGGTCCCCTGGGGAAGCTGTGTGCCGCTTCAGGACGCTTGAACTTGACTGGCCACACACAGGATTCAGAGGGCTCCAGACTGACACTGCCTGATGCTCCCAGGACCAGAGACAAGAGCACAAGGCTATTCAGACGACTCTTCCACTTACTCTGCCATCCAGAAGCTTGGAAGTTTTCTTTTTCTAAGGTTCAGAGAGCATCTCTTCTTTAATGGGAATGTACCCTGCCATATCTCTTCACCCACTGTGCTAGGAGCCCAGTATGCCGTCTGAAGGTCTCACCTGGGGACACCAGGCTCTCTGTCCCCTGAATGATTGCCCTCTCTGTCCCCTGAATGATTGCCCCCTCTGCCCCCGCCCTTTGGAACTCACCCACTTGCCTGCCAGGATGCCCAGTCATTCCAACAAGCTCCTCTTCTCTTCCCTCACAATCCCACCTCCATTCTTGTGTAATGCTACATTATAATTCTCACTCCTATAAACACGCGGACTGTCCTCACTGTGGCCGGTGTGTGGCTTTCGGAACTGTCCTTACTGTGGCTGGTGTGAGGCTTTCAGGACTGTCCCTAGTGTGGCCGGTGTGCGGCTTTCAATACCTTCAAACTGGGTCTCAGATACGAGACTTCAACACCAGGAGTCGATGGAGGAAAGTCCCACTCACAGGAGCTGCATGAAGGATCCAACCTTGCAGTCAAACCATGGGCTCGGGCCCTCCCCCTGCCATGTGACCTCACCAGACACTCAGCTCTCTGAACCAACCTGCCTCTCTCAATCCTCCAGGTTCTCAGCCGCCCACACGGTCTCACGGATGAGGAGACGCCAGCATATGGGGGCAGCTCAACACACGCTGCACTCCACAGGAACGCGACTTCGATACGCGTGTGTGCATGAACGCTCACTTTCAGAAGCTTCCTTGATGAAAGAAACACACAGACCGTCAACCATGACTACAACACCCTTTATTCAGCATGAGGAACACGAGGACATCCTTCCCAGAGCCAGGGTTGCCACACGCTCATCCTCCCCACAGGGCCACGCACGCCGCAGGCCACGGGCACTTGTGCTAGTGGTGGTGCTGTGTGAACTGGAGCCCACAGTAGCCACAGGTCCCAGTCTTGGTCTCTTTGTCCTGAAAAACACAAAAATAATGCCCTCATACTTCCATATTCTCCTTCAAATCTAGTATCTGGACAGCACGCACTGAGAAAGCAAGCATACAACTGGAAAGACACTGTCGACCAGGAACGCTGGGAAAACACGAGGTCACTACAGAGCTGACAGCTGTGACCACGAACCTGGTGGGAGCCATGGGTGGTGGACAGCAGCCCCAGCCTCAGGCGCCCAGCCGGGACATGCAGCCACCCACGGAACTGCCAGGGACACCGCCGTCAGCACAGCAGCTCTGACCCCATCCACACATCACCTGCCTGGAGTGGGTGGGTGGGCAGGCGGGAGTAGGGCTGAGGCACAACGCCTGAGTCCGCGAGCTGGGGTCCAGGACAGCACGCCGTGGCCGGCCCTGCTCTATGCTGCTCAACAGCTTATGCCTGCTCCAAGGATCCCTTTGCAGGACAAGCACCGAGACAGAACAGCTTTCAGTCAAGCCAGCTCTCATGAAGAAAAGGCCCATCAAGTCACCACTGAGCCTGGGAGGACACTGGGAGCCGCAGCTGCTCACATGCTGGGCTCAGCCGTGACCTCGTAAGCACGTCGACCTCATCCATGGCTTCCCCTCTCCGGGCCTGCACACGAGATATCAACAGGCACAGAAGATGACAGGGAATGTTATGAAATAAGCCAGGTCCCCCAAGTCATATGTTAACCCCAATACTTAGACGTAGCCTTTAAGGACTTAGGGTTACATGAGGTCAGATGGAGAGGCCCTGATCCAATCTGCCTGGTGTCTTCCAAAGAGGAGTAGGTGAGGACACAGACATACAGAGGGACAACGGGGGTGGGGGGTTGTCACAGGGAGGAGATGGTGTCCATATGCCAGAGAGGCCTCAGGAAGACCCAGTCCAGTGGCACCCTGACCTTGGGCTCCCAGTCTCCAGCACTGTGGGAGAAGTCACATCTTGTTTATACCCCCAGGTCTGCAGCACTCTGCAGGGCAGCCCAAGCTGAGCAAGATAAGGACCCAAACAAGGCCACCCCAGAGAGGAGAGACAGACAACCATGGGTAAGAGGGATGGGACAGACAAGGCCACCAACCAAGCACAGTACCCCCAGCTCAGTCAAGCAGGACTGGCGAGGCCTGCGGTGTGGTTGTGTGGGGGAGCCCGCGACAGCGTGGACACTGCAGGGTGCCTCGGGAGCAGGGGCAGAGAGGACAGAAGGAATGGAGCCCAGAGTGAGGCAACACAGGTACGACATGCTGCCTTCCATACGCGCCACGGGAGTGGCAGCCACGCACCAAGTTGATGTACACCTTCGGGTGGCCGAGGGCTCCCCCGCCGCCGTCGCACGCGATCACCCGGCTCTCCACCTGGCTCACAGGCTGCTCGGCTATCAGGTCGATGGCAAAGTTCTCGTTCACCTGGAACAGAGGAGAAAGCCTCACACACAGGTCCCAGCACCGCTGGCTCCACGCCGTCCACGGAGACAACCCCATCTCTGGGCTCATGGGCTGCCGGCACAAGTTCTCCATTTAAACACCAGCACTGCAGGCCTCCAAGCCATACAATGGAGTTCACACGGGTCTGCAGGCACACTCTCTCTTCACTTGAATACAAGTCCAAACTGACAGACACGCCGCAGGAATCTGAATAAAACAAGTCATCTCCTCGGCCCTCACCTGGTTCTCTATGTGCAACCCTGCCCTGCTCCGTCCTGTGCCCTCCTCCCCTACACACATGTGCACACAAGCACACACTCTGCCAAATGCTTGAGAGCACAAGTTCCTTGTGGGCCTGTCCCCCTGCAGGCTCCCATGCCCACTTCATGAGACGATTCCCACCATGACCTCAGCCAACACAATACCAATGTCACGGATTTACACAGCACTGGATGCCACCGCGTACCAGCTGTCACACCAGCCATGTGCCCCTGGCTTCCCCCGGCTTGCCCCCTCCAGGTCATGACAGCCTGCGTATCTGGGAGGCCTTTCCCATGTGTGGCCGTCGTGCACAGGGCTTCCTCACCTACCACTCCTTCCGCCTGGCTGCTCGTCACGCATGCACACCACGTTCGCAAGTCCATGCGGAGCCTGCCCTGGGTCTGCAGTTCTGTTTGAGCTCATCTTGCCTTGATTCTCAGAGTTCCTGACAAGGTAGTTTTGCCATTTCCCCTCATACTCCTGCCTCAGTGGCTGAGACGATGCTAAGCTGGGCATCGGGCCTTGGTCCTGCCCACGGGGAGGACTCCGGCAAGTTGCTGACGATGTAGTTTTCAAGACTGAAGCAATGCAGGTTATCACACCAAGCCAGCGCCACCCATTCCTGTTTCCTCCGGAGTTTTACTAGAAAGGGTACTAGGTTAAGTCAATTGATATGCAAAATTCTCCCTTCCCCGCAGGCTGCTCCTGCTGTCCGGAAAGCAGAGGCGGGAGGAAATCCTCACAGAAGTGAGCAGGCCCTGCAGTCCAACCCATGCTGTCCAGGAGTCAACATATTGGACACATTCAGATTCAATGATAAGATGCCCAAGACTTGCTTCAAAATGCCGCAGGGCTGGGGTGGTACTGGCAGAGTGGGGCTGAAGTCAGCGTGGCTGTCCCAACAGTGACCTTGGCTGGCAGTTGTGAACTTCACGGCCTGAGCACACAGGAGGAGAGCACCACTGCACCATGCCGTCCAGTTCAATGTTTTGGTTTCTTAAGCAATTACCATATACTGGTGTGGCAATCACTTGTCGTGTGATGTCCATGATGGCAAATGTGGGACCCAAAGGGGACACGCCTGGAACTCACTGTGTGGGAGTAGCCAGTGTCACTGAGGTGAATGCCAAGGGGACGTGGGAAACAGAAGCTACGCATGCAGAGCTGGCATCCAACGTCTAGGGGAAAGGCACGTGAGTCTCGCCCCACTCCCCCAAGGCTGGCCAGCCCTCTTGCAAGTGTGATGCCATCCTCCCTTCCCTGATGTTCCTCTCTGAAGCCCTCTACGTGGTCAGCCGTCCTCTGAGCACATTCTTGGCATCAGCAACAACATTCCGTGTTCAATACACAGGCCCCAGGGAATGTCCTGCTGGATGGCACACCCCAGCACCTGGCACCTCCATGTCGCTCCCCTCCCCAGATGGCCAACAGTGGCAAGACGCATAGTGAAGACACCTGTCTCTGGGGCCAGAGGCCCCCTCCACTGCACACACAATGACAGGGCACACCCTGGGAAGGGCGCCTCCTTCCCTGCAGACACAGCACTGTGGAAAGGGTTGGCCGCGTGCTGCATTCCAGAAGCTTGCTCAGTTACAGATGACCATTCTGTAGAAATCTATTTCCAGAAACACAGAAGTCAGTGGGAAAGGAAGCCACCCTGAAACAGACCCCCAGCTGGGCAGCACCCGGCACTGCTGGACATGCTCAATGCGGACCCCCTCTATGCACAGAGTCCCTGACACATGGGCCCCCTCAACACACAGGTCCCCTCAACACAGGTCTCGTGCCGCACCTCACAGCATCTATGAGTGAGAGATGCCAGCTCACCCTGCTGCAGGGCGTCACTCCCTACACAAATGGAGTCTATGGTGTAAATAACACAGTATCTGTCTAAGTGACATCGTGTCACAAAGGTCAAACTAACAAACTGCCGGGCCCAAGCAGACAGGTGCAGCCCCGGCCACCTCCCATAGGAAAGGCAGCTGACGCCGTGAAACTGGTGACTGATGCAGGATGCCCATCCGTCACTCACCGTGCACAGCTCAAGGGCCATCCTGCTCACCTGTCACCAACGTCAGGCTCCAGGAACACAGGTCAACCAGGAAGAAAGAGCCCGCATGAACACACCGCAACACACAGACATGTGAATACTCCCCATCAACTCACAGCCACAGGAACACATCTATGACAACACACAGCCGTGTGAACACACCCCATCGCAACACACAGCAGAACATATCCCATCAAAACGCACAGCCAAGAGAACACACCCTGCTGCAACACACAGCCACATGAATCCACCACATCACAACACACAGCCGTAGAACACACCCTGCCATAACACAGCCACATTCCGCTCAAGCTCTGTCATACTCGGGCTCCATCGATGCTTTCCCAGGATGGGACAAGAGTAGAGAGAGGCCCTGCTGGACCCGTGCAGGGGAACAAAGGGAGCAGAACATCACAGCAGCCTGGACACGTCACACTGTAAGCACAGGGTGTCACACGGCCTGCACTGTCCAACCAGCACCACTTGAGTCCCCCCCACATCACTAGTGTAAGAAATGGGCGCTGCCTTCTTGGAACCTCCTGGTGATCAACTGCCTTGGACATCAAAATACTCAGGTTCAAGTTCATTTGTCAATAATCTGCTCTCATTCTATGTTACTTTAACTTTCAGCTTTGGAAGCGGTGGTTTCTATGGAAAGTTTACTCCCTCATGTCAAACAGATAAAACCTAATAAATATAAAAAATATAGCTCTATAACAGAAAATCAAAACTAATGGAAAAAGGAAATGTTCTGTGAAACACTGACCCCATTAATGGAAATGAATAAGTTTAAAATCAACTTAAAGCTCAGTTCAACTATTGTGAACAGCAAATGTTTTTAACATTTAAGTCAATAATTACATTTAGCTAAATATATATATGTGTGTGTGTGCATGTCTATATATGTGTATCATGTTTAAATATAGGAATTTCTAGGTAATTTCACAGAAAATGCTTAAAAGCAGTAGCCGGACTATTTGTATGACACATTAAACTCGCCTAGGGATGGGAAGAGTCCAGAGCCTTGTAAGAGAAAGGGTCAGCCCAGAAGATGCAGGAGGACACACGAGGTCCTGGAGCCACCAGGGCACACATCGCCCAGTTATCAACCAAGCCCTGGTGTCCAAGTGGGGGTTTAGGATTTCACAGTGTCACGCAAGTTCCATGGGTCTCAGGACAAACAGACCTCATTCCTAGTACCAGCATTCCCGAGAGTCCAAGCCTCCCTGAAGGATGAAGATGCATGGTTCCTATCAACCCAGTAGACTTGCTGTAGAGGCAGACGGCCTCACCCTGTCCCCAGAGTCCACATTCTGGGAGGGATGTCGGGATGAGGAGCATAGAAAAGAGGAGGCGACAGAAATGCCAACACAGCTCCCAAGGCTCAGACCTCCCTCAGAGGCACCCAGACCACTTCCTGAGAAGACAGCCAGACAGATGCAGGCAAGCCTCTCTCCTCAAATCTCCTGGCAAGCACAAAGTAAGTCACCAGGACTCTGCCTCGTCACCGCCACACGACCTTCAGGCAGAGGGTGGGACTCAGGGCACGGAGGTCGGAATGAGCACCCCACATTCCAGCTTCCTCTGGCAAAGGATGGACTCCGCCACCCCTATCTGGCTGGGACTTCACCCCTGCATGGAGCCTGGCTGGGCTCTGAGCCAATCCCCATCCCCGCCAGCTGCCCCCACCTACAACCCCAGAGGCACTGGGGGCAGCACCGCACATGGACCCTGCAGGCTCTTCCTCCTGGTGACCCCGCCTCCTCCCTTGTCCCCACAGTCCTGGGATGGTGACGGCTCCTTGCTGCCACTGACCCCAGAGGCCTGGGCACTCCCTTCTGGCACTTTAGCCTTCCTGCCATGGCCGCGAGTGTTCACGCATGTACATATATGAGGGCTAGCGTGGTTCAGATGGCAGCATGCTGGCCTGCCCTCATGAGACGGGTCAGCTCAGGATCGAAGAGGCCACATGCGCTGTCCACTGCCGATCCGAGGAGTGTTCCTCATCCCAAGTGGGCACTAATTCGCCGCCATGGGTTCCCAGAGCCTCTGCCAGCAGTGATGCACCTCCATACCCGAGTGTGGTCTCCCTGCCACCTCCCAGGAAACAGGAATTGAGGAACACTGGCGACGAAAGCCCCAGAGAGAGCCTCTGGTCCATTTCCTGCACAGCCTGAGCCCCCTCCCCGCCCATGAACACCACAGACCATAAGTTCACCATCTTAGCCATTTGCAAGTACAGTGGCATTAAGGACAGTCACACTGTGATGCAATCACCACCGCCCTCCATCTCCAGAGTTTTCCATCTTCCTGAGCCAAAACCCCATTTCCAATAAACACCAGCTCCATGCCCCGACTCCTCCAGTACCCACCTCTACCTCCTGGCTCTCTGAATCTGACCACTCTGGTGCCCCAGGCAAGCAGAGCCACACAGTGTATATCCTGTGATGGGCTCACTCCACCAGGAACACTGTGCTCAAGGCCTACCTGTGTTGTGGCATGTCAGGCACCTGAGTCAGGATTCCTTGTGTATGAAGAAGAGTCCTGCGTGCAGATCAATCACGCTATGTGATCCGCTCCCATCCAGGGAGCCCTGGGAGCTTCCACATTTAGCTACTGTCAATAGTGCTGCCATGAGCAAGCCAATAACAGTTTCTTTTCAAGTCCCTGCTTTACCCTTATACCCAAGCCCACAGAATGCCAAGAGGGAGCCTTAATGTCAACTGTGGCCATGAGTCACAACAACGTGTCGACGCAGGCGCCTGAGTATAAGGCAGGTAGTCACTCATGCAAGATTCAGCAATAGCAGAAATGGGGGAGCAGGGATACACAGGGGACAAGGTCTATGAGAATTCTCTTCAGTTTTCCTGTAAATCCAAGAGATCTAAGACCCTTTTGTCTCTCAGAAGACAAAATGCTACTAAAAGTAACACTACTCAACACCTGACTTTTGCTGAAGGGAGGCCAAAGCAGGCTGCCTAGTCACTGTGTTACCATCATGCTGGAGACCATCATGGCACTGAGGTGCCCTGGACACTCACGATGGTACTGGAGAGGTCAGGTCACTTGAGCAACGAGCCTCACGCCAGAGGGGCCCGCCATGCTCCCCACACCCACCCTTCCTGGCTTCCCTGACTGTTGGGTTTGCCTGTAAGCTCTTTCTCCATTGCCCCATACCATACCAACCAGAAGCCACACAGAGAATTTCCAGCAGAGGCACCTGGGACGGGACGGCCAGCTTGCCCCACCATTCAGGAGTTGTAACTGGAACCAGGGCCAGGCCACACAAGCCCTGCCCATGCCGGGCGTCAACCCCGTGTTCACCCCTGCCACTGTGACATGACACCCATTCAGTAGGGACACAGAGTCCTGCCACCGCCTTGGTAATCCATCAGCCCATCAACGCCCAAGAAACAGGAATGGGGACACGGCACCACCGCTGGGAGACACCATCCCAAGTCCATGACCATGCTGCCAAGAGAACACTCCAGTGCCTGCGATCTCTCAACTTCCCTGGGTCTCCACCTTCCGAATGTCAAGTTCATGCACCTAACTGGAGAACTGACTTCCCATGAGAACGCACAGGACACACCCTGTGAGCAGAAGAAACACCCTGCTCCCAATGCCATGTGAAGCTGCAGGATGGAGAAGGAAGCATATAGAATAAGATGACACCACTGGAGACTCTGACAACTCAGACAGTAAGCAAAAAAGTGTCTTGGGAATGAACAGGAGGACTCACCATATGCCCTTACCAGACAGCTCATTTGGGGTTCTATGAAAAATATTCACATGGTTTCCATTTTACAAATGAGAAAACTGAATTTCAGAGACATTAAGCTCTGCTGCAGTTCAACCTCACACCTATCAGACTGCAAATCCACACAGCTTCCACTCCACCAGAGGCAAACCCACCAGACACAAGCCCCCAGGGTCCCAGCAGACATCACTAATCAAATAACAACCGGGAACAGACCTCAGGATCCTTCTCAACACAGCACTCAAGCAGCATCACCAAACAATCAACCAACAGAATACACATTTCTCTGCCACCACTCAGTGAACCAGCTGAATTTTGAGCATGTGAATTTGTAAAGAGTCCATTTGTGCTGTGCAACTCTGGAACAGAAGTAAAAGAACTAGACACTAGGAATGTAACCAAGAGCACAGGAAAGGGAAACAGGATTTGGGACAGCCAAAGCACACTGAGAAGAGTTGACAGGCTGATGTGGAAGAAGAGTGGGTTAAGGAGGAGGGTGTGAAGGACAAAACCAGATTCCGGAAGCATGCAGGAATGAGAGCCTGAGAACTTGGGAGCCAGCAGACACAAGCAGCAGGGAGGGAGTCAGGCAAGAAACAGGCTGGCTCAGGCAGAGGGGTTCCGATCTCAACATCCCTTTTCCAGAGGTCAGATGGGAGTAATTCATATGCCATTTTCAGCTTGTCAGTGTAAATTCCTATAAAAACAGCCTCATTCACTTGGCAACAACTATGAAAAACACCACCCAAAAGGTGACTACAGGGGTAACTTTTTAAAAGTTGATATGATGTACTTTAATCTGAGAGTTTCAGGCGAATAAGGCACAGAAACGAAAACAGATCACTCCCGTGTATATAGAAACCAGAACTACAGTTACAAAAAGTTGTGTTAAGTGTCTCAGGGGTAAGAGCCAGAAGCAGCCCATTAACATTACAATTATTGCACATAATTATAATTAACATTATAAGGAACGTAGAAGCCCAGAGCTGCCACCCTGCTCGCGATATGGGGAGGATTTACTTACATCTTAGGCATTAGTTTTTGTTTCTTGCGAGTTACACAGTTGCATGTACGCTTACTTTCTCACTAGACCTTTCCCTCACCTCTTTCTGTCGACCAACAAACCGAATTCGCCGGTAGTCTTTGTCATCATAAACCTGGGGGGAAGAGAAAAGGACCGCGTGTGACCTTGAGACTCTGAGAGGGGTCGCTCGATGCCAACTAACGCCAGGACAGGGTGTTCCTCGTCTTCCAGGCCCCTGATGAGGACCACACGGGTGAGGAGCAGAGCACGCGTGCAGCCGGGGCGCGACCGCTAAAGCCGGGGACGGCGGGTGGGGGGCGGAGGGGGACGTCTGCCCGCCGCCGG